CTAGTCGGAGTTCAAAATGAAAGCCTCCGGCGGGGTGCCGGAGCCTTCCTGACTGATTTCGCCGTCGCGAATCCCCTGAGCTGCCTGCTTTATCAACTCGATGCGAAGGAGCAGGTCCGCTTCGGCGCATGCCGGTGTGGCCGGAGCCGGAAGGCTCTGTGATGAGATCGCCGTGGATGCAGAAACGGGAGCTCGTGTACCTGTGAATCCCGGTGCCATCAAAGAACCAGCCTGCGAGCTCGAGGAAGAAGAAGCAGGAACTCCCGACTCGAGGTCCGGCACAGCCTCTCTAGCCGTGTCCATCACGATGAGGCTCCTCGCATTCTCTGCTGAGAAAGCCACATCATCGGTGCCGGTGAGATCAAGGATAGGCGCTATGACACTGCCCTGCCCGAGCTCACTGGGAGCCGAAGTCTCCATCACGTCGTCATCCAACTCAACGAGAGCCCTTGGTCGCTTCTGTGGCTTGGGTCGACAGGTATCCCTTCCCACAGCATCGTCCATAGCATCAGTACCCACTGCTGCGATATTCGCCCAGTCCATGGGAACCGAGGGGCCATCGGTGGGCAACACACCTGAAGCAGCAAAAAGCTTACCAGGAACCGCGCCGGCGGGCCAAGTACGGTTGGACCTGAATCCAGCACGACAGCCAGCTCTGCTGCGGTCCTTGCTGGACGACGATGCCCGCACCGGTTCCGGATCAGATGATCGATGTCGCCGCGTACTTGCCGAGGAATCAAGGGCAGGGGAGGAAGTTGATGATGGAGTTTCCATGGTGCCGGCATGCACAGCGTTTTGTATGGCATATGGGCGTCTAAGCTTGGCCGCTAACGCCATAAAAGCGTCAGGCGGTAAGTCTTGCCGAAGCAACCCAGAAGCAACCGGATCCGAGGCACCAGACTCCATTGTATAGACCGTCTTCGGCCTACTTGAACTGCTTCCGGCAGCCATGCGAGGCTCAGATGAAACAGACCTCATGTCGGCATCCTCTCGGTCAGCCCCCTGTCGCTCTTCCTTGCGAGCCCTGGCCGTTCCTTGAACCCCATCTCCATCTCCCTGGCGCCAGCTCATGTGCTCGCGACGACGCCGTGCCATCAGCACAGGTGACAGACTGCCTATCCTTACCCTAGGAGAATAACCGCCCTCAGTGAGAAGAGCTGAGGGTCTAGTAGTGGAACCAATCCCACCTACAGAGGCCTTGTGAGTCCCAAGGAGACCCACAGCTGCATGCTTGAAGGCTGCGAGGCAACGCAAGCGCAACATCCAACGCTCAGCACCGCAGTTTGCCAAGACTGGGCTAAACCAGAAGTAAGGTATCACAATTCTGGCGGGAGGACTAAACCCAAGAAGGGCAGGGGTTCTGGTTGGTGCACCGCGAACTCTCAAGAAACAGACTGCCTGCAAAGCACCATGTGCATCATGCGCTCCTGAAGCCGCATGCTGGTGCTGCCGGCAGGCGCACAAGCGCGGCAGCAGCTGTACCTGTGACTCGGGCATCCGGGCTACGCGTGAGTCGGAGCACCATCTAATCAGGTTAAGCGGGGCGTCGCACGGTCCAATCACGGGTGCAAGGACCAGACGCACATGGCACAAACGGATGAGCAGCCGTGGAAACCTCCAATGGGATCCCTGAGCATCGGGAGCCTCCCGCACTACAATCGGAGAGCTCTGTCCAAGAGCTTTGGGTACCTTAGTCCATGCTATTGAGGTCCACCTGCATCCGCCGGGCAGAGCCTGAGTCTCCTGTGCCCCGCTGGGCAGTTGAAACACTGGCGTCACCCATTGCTTTCTTGTTTCCTTCTGCCACCAAGGCACGTGCAAGTCTTCTGGCATCTGCTTGTGTTGGGGCAGCAGGTTGTGTCGATGAAGATGCCAGCATGTTCGAAGAGAACAAGCAAGACACCTTTGTCCAATGTCCTTGCCCTCGTCCAACCACTTCGCTGCAGACATGTTGCGAGGATCTGTGTCTTTGGTATGCAGAGGCAGAACGTCAGCACAGCCCAAACCAGCATAAAGCGGTAAGCAGAGACGGCAGCTGCAGGAGGATCGAAATGGCAGGAGAGCCCTGAACCCCTGAAATCAAGAAGCCGGGAGGGGGCAGCCCACGGGCGGGAACAAGACACACACACACACACACACACACACACCAACCCAGGGCACTCACAAAAGTTCGGGCCCAGACGCTTTAGTTGTGGTGGTGGTGGTGGTGGTGGTGGTGGTGGTGGTGGTGGTGGTGGTGGTGGTGGTGGTGGTGGTGCTGGTGGTGCTGGTGGTGCTGGTGGTGCTGGTGGTGCTGGTGGTGCTGGCGGTGCTGGTGGTGCTGGTGGTGCTGGTGGTGCTGGTGGTGGTGGTGGTGGTGGTGGTGGTGGTGGTGGTGGTGGTGGTGGTGGTGGTGGTGGTGCTGCTGCTGGGTGGTGCTGGTGGTGCTGGTGGTGCTGGTGGTGCTGGTGGTGCTGGTAGTGGTGGTAGTGGTCGTGGTGGTGGTGGTCGTGGCGGTGGTGGTCGTGGCGGTGGTACCCCTTCAACCCCATCGGGTTTAAAAGCTTTTGGTGGTGGTGCTGGTGGTGGTGGTGGTGGATTGAGGGGTGGAGGTTGGATGGAGTTGGTTTGGAATGTGCTGCGTGGGGGAGGGGGGTTAAGGGTTGATGGAGCGGTGGGTGAACACGGTGAGCCCTGGGTTTGGGCTGGGCACTTCAAGGTGTTTGGGTTTGGTGGGTGTGGTTTTTATTCTTTGGACCAGGTATCGAAACAAATTTGAGCCAGTTTTGAATTATTTTTCAAATTGGTTCAAAAAATCAAATTTGATGAAATCTGATGAAATCTGATGACATCTGGTTTTTCATCAGATTTCATCAAATTTGATTTTTTTGAACCAATTTGGAAAAAATAATTCAAAACTGGTTCAAATTTGTTTCGATACCTGGTTCAACCTTGCAAGGACCGGAGAAGGGCCAGGAGATAGGAGGGGGGCCGGGGGAGGCCAGGGGGCCCAGGAAGGCACCCAAACCCAAACACCTTGAAGTGCCCAGCCCAAACCCAGAGCTCACCGTGTTCACCCACCGCTCCATCAACCTTTAACCCCCCCCCCCCACCCAGCACATTCCAAACCAACTCCATCCAACCTCCACCCCTCAATCCACCACCACCACCAGCACCACCACCAAAAGCTTTTAAACTCGGTGGGGTTGAAGGGTGACCACCGCCACGACCACTGCCACCACCACCAGCACCAGCAGCACCACCACCAGCACCAGCAGCACCACCACCCACCACCCACCACCCACCACCCACCACCCACCACCACCATCGCCACCACCACAGCCACCACCACCACCACCACCACCACAACACCAACACCAACACCAACACCAACACCAACACCAACACCAACACCAACACCAACACCAGCACCAGCACCAACACCAACACCAACACCAACACCAACACCACACCACACCAACACCACCACCATCGCCACCACCTTCAAACCCGATGGGGGTGAAGGGTTAAGGGTTTTGGGTCGGGGTGAGGATTTTGGTGGGTGGCAGGCTTTAGGGGCTTGGGGGTGTTAGGGGGGTTGGCTGGAAAAGCTTCGGGGTTTGGGGTTCGGGAGAATGATTTTGGAAACGTAGAACCCCCCCACCCCCCGAAACAAAAAAAAACGCCACAACCCCTAATGTCACAGCCCTCCCTCAAAGCCCCTAGCTTCCAAAACCTAGAGGAACTGACAAAAACCCGAGACCCGAGACCCCCAAACCCTAAACCCTCTAAACTCTATCGTTCTTCTTCCCTTTCTTGCTTCCTTTGTTTCTCCCTTTCTCTATCTCTCTCTCTCTCTCTCTTTCTCTCTCGCTCTCTCCCTCCCTCTCTCCTTCTCTCGCTCTGTCTTTCTCTCGTTCTCTCTTTCTCTCAGTCTCTCTCTCTCTCTCTCTCTGTTCTCCTTCTTTGGCTCTCTCTTTCTCCCTTGCTCCCTCTCTCTCTCTCTCTCTCGTTGTCTCTCTTGTTCTTTCTCTCCTTGTGTCCTTCTCTCGTTCTCTCCCTTATGTCTCTTCTGCTCGGTCGGAAGGCTGGGCGCGTGGAAGCAGGCAGGCGTGGGCTGGGGGACTGGCGATTGGGGCGGGCTCCTCCACTACACACCTTTCTCGCTTCCTCCACCCACCCGCCCACCCACCCCCGGCACCCCCCCACCCGTGGATTATTCTGCGCGAAACCCTGTCTGGGGACACCGCTTGCGATTTGATGATTTTGGTACCTGTTGGGGACACCCCTTGCGATCTGCGAGTTTTTTAAAGCCATAGGGGAACCTTAGGGGGACAGCCCTTGCGGTTCATGATTTGGGCACTCATTTTTAACGCAGACCTGTAGGGAGACACTCTTTGCGATCCGTGAGTTTGGGATCTCGTTTCTTCAAAACCTAATGGAACACCCATTGCGCGCCCCAGCCCCCAGCCCAGTCCACCACCGCATGTGTCGGCAAAATCTGGCGGAAGTGAGCCGCCACAGAGCAGAAAGCCTGTAAATACCGCGTTAACACAAGGGCTAAGGATTTCACACATCTGCTGAAAAATCTGGCGGGCTAGGGATTTCACACATCTGCTAGCAAAATCTGGCGGAAGTGAGCCGCCATCGAACAAAAAGCCCGTAAATACCACATTAAGCAAAGGGCTGGGGATTTTACACACCTGTTGGCAACATCTGACGGAAGTGAGCCGCGACCGAGCAAAGGCTGATCCCAGCTCACTTCCGCCAGATTTTGCCAACAGGTGTGTGAAATCCCTAGCCCTTTGTTTAATGCGGTATTCACGGGCTTTTTACTCGATGGCGGCTCACTCCCGCCAGATTTTGCTTGCTTTCTGCTCGGTCGGAAGGCTGGGCGTGCGGAAGCAGGCAGGTGTGGGCTGGGGGGCTGGCGGTTGGGGCGGGTTCCCCTTCTCCTCCACTACACATCTTTTTCCTTTCCTCCACCCACCCACCCACCCACCCACCCCCGGCACCCCCCACCCGTGGATTATCATCCCTTGCGATTTGATGATTTTGATACCTGTTTCGTGCAAAAGCCTGTAGGGGGATACCCCTTGCGATCTGCGAGTGTTTATAAAGGCTTAAAGGGAACCTTAGGGGGAGCCCTTGCGGGTTATGATTTGGGAACTTATTTCTAACACAAACCTGTAGGGAGACAGCCTTTGCGATCCGTGATTTTGGGATTTGCGTTTCTTCAAAACCTAATGGGACACCCCTTGCGATTTATGATTTTGGGATCTATCTCGCGCAAAAACCTCTAGCAGTCATTTCTTGTGGAGGATGAGGTAGAAGACTTTTCCTTTTGGGACTTTTCCTTTTGGAAGCTGGGGGAGCTCTGGCTTCTCTTGCTAGGAGCGAAGTCTCTTCAATCTTCTTAAGATAAAGCCGACTTACCAAGAGGTAAAGGCTCTCTCTGCTAGAATGAAGCTCTCGTTTCTTACCAAGAATAACTTGGAGTGAGCTCTCTTCCTGTTTCACAGGGTAAGGTAGGGGGCTTGGGCTTCTCACTTCCTTTTGAAAGCCGCGGGAGGACCAGCCTTTCTCTTGTCAAGGTTTGAAGTTTGGAAAAGTTCCACCTTTTCTTCTTGATCGTAAGCTCTCTTCCATGTTTTTTCAAGAGGAGGAGATGGTCAAAAGCTGTCGCTCTTGACGAAGAGAGAAAGACGTTTTCTTCTTATCGCCCGAAAGGCAGTCGGAGCTCTCTTCTTTCTCGTGATGCTCTGTTATACTGCCACGAACAACCTGGGGGAACTCTCTTCTTGTTTTGGAGCATGAGGTCTTTTCTTTTGAAGGCTGGCAACTGAGAAGAAGTATAAGAAATCTCTCTAAAGAAATCTTCTCTTGCCAAGAATGGTTTGGAATGAGAGAGCTCTGTCCTCACTTCTTTGAAAGCTATCTCTCTTCTATCCCTTGGAGAGGAAGTCGTGGCGACAAGGAGCTCCTCTCTCTTATTGTCGACTAAAACGCAGCCGGTCTTCTCTTATTTCTCGTGAAGCTCGAAAGGTTTCTTTTCTGATTCAGAGGATGGGGTAAAGGGCTGATCATGTCTTGTTGAAGGCTGAAGGGAGGATCAAGCTCTTCTTCTGAAGATTGAGAGAGCTGTGTCCTCACTTCTTGAAAGGCTATCTCTCTTCTATCCGAAGAGGGGACGACAAGGAGCTCCTCTCTCTTATTTTCGATTAAGTGGCAGCAGGAGTACTTTTATTCT